CACACACACACACACACACACACACACACACACACACACACACACACACACACACACACACACACATACACACACACACGCACACATTCGGTCTTGCTAGCTCTCTGTCTTGGTAGATTTCGAGTGGCTAGGATCGGGCTCGTAGTGGCAAGTTATCCTCCTATTTTGTGGTTGGATATGTTTGTTGGCTCTATTTATTATACACGGCCTAATTCTTTGCCCTGCTTTAGAGAATGGGCTATTTGGATGTCTATGGGTGGCCACAAGTTTTTCTTGGGGGGGAATGTATGTTTTGTGGGCCGGCGCGGAAGGCTCTCCAAGGATTTTCAGACCTTTGGCGGGCTGGGTTGGTGCTTTCTTGCTGGAGGAGTCTTCTGTTTTAGGTAAGTTGTCTTTTACCTTCCACCCCTTGGTAGTGACGTGAATGGGTAGCTTGGGATGAAAGTCATGCCAGTGCTATCGTGCTTGTGTTGTCTTTGTGTAATTGAGTTTGTTGTCAACATTGGCTTGTATTGCATGCTGATTGTCCTTTTCTGGTCCATCTCCACATTCATACATACACATATAAGTCAATGAAACAAGGTCTATTTTTCACTCCTCTTCTTTTTCCTTTTTCTCCATCACGATGGTGGGGATGGGGTTGGCAGGTGAAATCTCACAATCCCAACATACTATAGTATCAAAGCACGCTTTCTGTAAGTTGTTGCAGATGAGTCATTGAACGTTTATGTATTGTATGGTTCCGGGACTTCAATCATCAGGTTTGAACTTTGAAAGTTGAGCTTGGCGACATCGTTGACAGCATAAGCCACCTTCTTTCCCAGCCTTTTACATTTTGGCATGTTCCTCAACTCCAGAACTTACCGTGAATCAATAGTCAACCGTTGTTGCTGTTTATTTGTGCTGTCCACACTAACATTGAAAACCCTGTCGGTGTGTTGAACTGTGTTCCTGACCAGACGGTTGACGACATCCCCTTCGAATGTGCGCCAGTTGCACTCTATGACAGAGTTTGCCACTTCCTAAAGGTATGCGTTTTGGGACGGAAGGCTTTCAAACTTCGGAGCAAAGAAATAAACAAGCTGGCAGCTGCAAAACTCCTTCCCCAGCCCTCCTTCCCCCCTTCCCCC